GTAAATTTAAGCATTTTAGGGCTTGTGATTGCCTTTGCCAATTATCTGCACCCAATAATGATAATGATAATAATGATAATAATTATAATATTAATGATAATAATGATAATGATAAGAGCAATGATAATATTAATAATGATGATAATGGTGATGATGATGATGATGTTAATAATAAAAAAATAAAAATAAAAATGAAAATAAAAATAAAAATAGAAATAGAAATAGAAATAAAAATAAAAATAGAAATAGAAATAAAAATAAAAATAAAAATAAAAATGAAAATAAAAATAAAAATAAAAATAGAAATAGAAATAGAAATAAAAATAAAAATAGTAATAATAGTAATAATATTAGTAATAATAATATTAGTAATAATAATAATAATAATAATAATAATAATAATAATAATAAAGCCTGAAGTTGGGAATAATAATAAATTTTAGGGTTGGGACACCCCACAGTGCCCCTGACTGCCAGGGAATTTTTTTTCACCCTAAAAAAAAAAAAAAAAAAATCCCAAATTCTCCCCCACGTGTGGCTGCTCCTCTTTTGGTGCCTCCAAAATCTCCAGGATCAGAAACTCTCAACAAAATCCCTCGGGATGAACAGAACGGCGTTCCAAAAAATTAATTAGGGAATTAATTAATTGCTCCTAAAATGGGGCTGAAGGGATTTTTCTGTTTGCACAAAGAGGTTCGGAAACCTCATTTTTTGGGGGGGGCTGAATTTTTCCCCGAATTGCATTTTGGGAGGACATCAAGCAACACCAAATCTGCATCAAATTTGCATCAAATTTGCATGCGGGAAGAAGCAAAACTGAGCAGAATCTGCAGGAATTTACAGGAGGAATTTGGAGCCAAGATTATAAAAATTTAAAAATTTCTGCATTCCCAGCCCTTGCAGCTTTTTAACATTTATTCCTTGATTGTCAATGTCCCCCTTCTGTGCCCAAGGAATTTGTTTTTTCCTCTTTTTTCCTTTAAAAATGACTCTTCCCCCTTCCCATATATCTATATATTTATATATCTATTTGTGTCTATTTTTATCTATTTCTATCTTTCTATATATTTGTATTTATTTTATATCTATAGTATCTATATGTATATCCATATATTCCTATTTCTATTTCTATTTCTATATCCATATTTCTATTTATCTAATCTACAACTCTATCTATTTATATATTTCCATTTCCATTTTCATTTCTATCTATCTATATATTTATATTTATATATATTTCTATTTCCATTTCCATTTCTATCTATATCTATATATCTAGATCTAT